ACATGAAGAAGAGGGGACACATGTTGATGTAGAAGAGACATGGAGAAGAGGGGACACATGTTGATGTAGAAGAGACATGAAGAAGAGGGGACACATGTTGATGTAGAAGAGACATGGAGAAGAGGGGACACATGTTGATGTAGAAGAGACATGGAGAAGAGGGGACACATGTTGATGTAGAAGAGACATGGAGAAGAGGGGACACATGTTGATGTAGAAGAGACATGAAGAAGAGGGGACACATGTTGATGTAGAAGAGACATGAAGAAGAGGGGACACATGTTGATGTAGAAGAGACATGAAGAAGAGGGGACACATGTTGATGTAGAAGAGACATGAAGAAGAGGGGACACATGTTGATCGAGAAGAGACATGAAGAAGAGGGGACACATGTCGATGTAGAAGAGACATGAAGAAGAGGGGACACATGTTGATGTAGAAGAGACATGGAGAAGAGGGGACACATGCTGATGTAGAAGAGACATGAAGAAGTGGATTCTGCATAATAGGTGACCTTTAAATGACTCAACATTAGCTTAGCTGTTAGCTTAGCTGTTAGCCCAAACGTCTAGTTATCCGAATACCTTAACATTAGCTCATTAGCTTAGCTGTTAGCTGAATTACACGACTGCTTTTTACTGTTGTTTCTCTCAGAGGTCTATCTCATCTTAAACCAGCCATTAATCAAACTTTTTTTGTACTGTTTATTCCTGCAGAGGTGTCCCGAAACGACTCGTGTCCCGACCTGCCTGAGATCCAGAACGGGTGGAAGACCACGTCCCACATCGCTCTGGTTCGGGGGGCGCAGATCACCTATCAGTGCGACCCGGGATACGACCTGGTGGGCCGAGAAACCCTCGCCTGCCAGCTGGACCTCTCCTGGAGCAACCAGCCGCCATTCTGCGAAAAGAGTCAGTTCTTATCTTATTTATCAATCTGTTATTGTTTGTGGGAAGCCGTGCAGATGGTGTTTTTGTTGTTCTCCGTGTCTGCTTCTTTCCAAGAAATGATGGAGGCCAAAATGCTGTGGAAAACTTTCATTTAATTAGCAACAAAGGGTTTGACAGAATTATGGGCAAGTGCAAAATGTAGAAAGTGCCATTTAAAATACGTCTAAGTGATACTTTCCTTAACCTTTGGATGACTGATTCTTATAAACACTTAGATCCGATGATATGAATGTCTCTCCGTGTGTTTCTCAGTCATGTACTGCTCAGACCCGGGACACGTGGAGCACTCGACCCGCTCCCTCTCCGACCCCAAGCTCCTGGTGGGAACAACGATTCAGTACAGCTGCACCGCCGGCTTCATCCTGCAGGGCGGCGCCACCATCAGCTGCTACGGCCGAGAGCCGGGGACCCCCGTGTGGACCGCCAAACTCCCCCACTGTGTTAGTGAGTATCAGGAGAGAGGGTTGAAGTACACACATCCTTTACTCAAGTAGAAGTACAGATACTCGTGTTTAAAAATACTCTGGTGAAAGTAGAAGTACTGACTAAACTTCTTTACTCAAGTCAAAGTAAAGAGGCTTTGAAATGTACTTCAGTAAAAAGTACCCATAACTAGCAGCTGTTTTAAAGAGTACCTGACCTCCCTTTATATTAATAGAACAATAATGTCATTGTTAGCGAATGAATGTTTCCATGCTGAACAACGGCAACATGACAACGTTTTCATTGGTCCCTCTTCTTTAGAGAAGAGCAGGAAATGATGGATACACGGATCGTGTTCAAATCAATAGGCACGCAATGACTCTAAATAATAATGATCACGCCACCAAACACACATTCAGACTAAAGGAACCAGCCTGTTTGGAAAATGAGAGAAGTAGAAAGTACAGGTATTTGTGTTCAACATGTGAGAAGTAGAAAGTACAGGTATTTGAGTTCAAAATGTAAGAAGTAGAAAGTACAGGTATTTGAGTTCAAAATGTAAGAAGTAGAAAGTACAGGTATTTGTG